GGTGTCCAGTTGCACCTTAAAAGAGAATGAATCCCCTGTACAATAGGCTATATTAGCAATAAAAACAAATATATCAAGTAAACATCTCATCATAGATCATGGCCGAACTATGATAATGTAGAGCTGAGAAAATATAGTCTAGTCTGCTTAAAAATCTGGCCATGCTGCTGTGCACTTGCAAGTATCTCAAGCAGGAAATGATGGAAAGCTCCACTGATCTCAAATAACTCAATTGTTTTTCCTTTTCTAATCAAATATCTTCATAGTGAGGGACCAGAAATGCATCATTCAGCATGCAATGTAGTTGTGAAAGCATGAAATATGACACTTCACTGTTAATGCAATATTAAAGATTAAAAATGTTTATTACCTGTTATTCTTCTCTTAATTGTTTTGTGTAGAGAAAAATAGAAGTTGCTGCCTTAATGCATAAAAAAATCACAATGTGCATTCATAGAGGAGAGCAAAGTGTTGGGGCTATGAAAATTATGTAAATGATGAATTCCAGTGAAAGAACTTTCAAACCCTTAGGGTCTTCAAACAGCATTAATTCAAGAAATTAGATACAAAATTTAACTTTTTCATGCTAATAATGATTTCATAAGGAAAAACTCGTTAGTAAAGGTGACAAATATGAAGTTCTATTGAACATTTAAATTCAGGAATCTTAGTATGCGCCCCTGGGATATATTTACACAGCCAATGACTCTGATGTTATTAAGTAATTTATTTGAGAAAGTCTCCATTCATGAGTTTACATAAGAACAATATCAGGTTTACAAAGGCTTGTGTTGTCAGTTTAGCAAATACCTAATTCACAATGACTTTTGCTTAAGATTTTCATTAGGTTGTTCAATATTGTTTGATCATTTAATGTCAGCTTCATGAGATCAAAATTTCCCCTATACGAAAAGAGGAAATTAAAAGAAGAAATAAATTAAAAAGAGCAAACTAAACTTAAATTTAAATCAGCTTTGTCACAAAAGGGAGGAGAGCAGTGTCAGCACTTGAGATTATACTTTACTTGGGTATAAACTACCCACATTTGGCAATTTAAGGTTTTGCTGTAGTATATTTCTATGCCAGCAATAGCAAAAAGATGTATTGAAACATCTGGAATGTTGCATATGGTTCATTTGTTCAGGACTGATCTGTCATAGGACAGTATCGATTTCTGGCAGCATTAGCTAGGACTTCATCAGTTAGATAGGAAACAAAACCACCCTAAATCCCTTGATTTCTATGCCTATTCATGCTGTAATCTATGGCCTCCAGCCAGTGTTTCAGGCAATGTGAAAAAATAACTAAAAATGACAATTCCTGCATCAAGGGCCAGAGTGGATATAACAGAGAGAAACAGTCCAAAATCTGAAAATGGGGATGGTCGAAATTGTTGACAGAATATTTGTCTTCTTACAGAAAATGCTGGTTCATCCATACAGAACTATCTCCCAGGAAATGAGCTGATTTGACTCAACTTCCTAATGAAATACAGGCAAGCCTTGAAATCTCCACTGTCTCCTGGCTAGATCATTGACCATCATTCCTCAGAGACCTCCCTGGTCCCCAAGCTCCATCACAAGGCTGTGCTCGAGGAGGCTTGATTCAATAAGCGTTTGAAATCACAGCTTGATCCTGTTACAACCTGCCTCCAGCACTTTTTCTCCTCCTCACGATGGGCTTTGCTCCCTCATCACCATGGTGCCTGCATTTAGGTGTTTTTCCTCCCTTGCCTCTCCTACTCATTCGGGCTAAACCGGCAACACATCAGCCTTTGTGCTTCCATGGGAGAGATCCAGTCTGTGCTCCAAGGCTTGTCTCTATCCCTTCCAATATACTTCATTACACATGTCCTAAGACAGCTGAATCTTAAAGGACAACCTGCCTTTGTGTTAAATCTTTTGCTCTGCAGCAGCAGGAAACCCTGGCCTACACCTGACCGCAGGCCAAAAAGAAAACAATATTGAAATAAAAGCCCATATTGCAGCAATTACTAGATTGTGTCACATTTGACTGGAGTGTGAGCTGCCTGGAGGGTCTGATTTAGACATGAGAAGGCAGAAGTGTTTTTCCTGGCAACATCTCCCATGAGAAATTAAAATACGACTTGCAAATAAAACATGCAGAATTATGCAGTGACTATCTTGACCGTAACCTATCTTTCCACTAACCTAGATGACTATTTAATCTTTAACTTATGCTCTTTACTGAATACATATATAATGAGAGTGAACAGGAAGGGGTAGGCCAGGTGAGATTTGGTCATATTTACTAACATGTGAGTCATTGCATTTGTGTGTTCTCTGGCACAGTGGTTCTCTGATGTTCTAAGGACTTCTGAAATGCAGAAGGGCTCTAATCCATATAAAAATAAGCTCCATTGGTAGGTAGAATAGTCACAGGATAGGAACTGTAATAGAAATCACAAGGCTTGAAAGGTAATGATATTGGAAAGAACCTGCAAGGTAGGACTTATCAAGAGGAAATTAAAGGTCCTTATTGGAAAACTAAGGAACAAGGAGATGAGAAATGATACAAAATTAGGCAAGGATTCATAAGTAAAGTAAGATGTTGCAACTCTAAAGTTGTTTTACTGGATCAGTGTTAAGGTGCGTTCTGTCTGAGTAAGGGAGAGAAGACAGTTGGGGATGATTTCCAGGTACAGATGTGAGAGACAAAGAGGGATTTGGCAGCATAATCTTGGAAAGAAAATGAATATGGGGAAGTGTCTGGAAGTAAGCAAAAAAAAATTTATTATATGTAGTGCTTAGAAATAGGTTACCATTCACCAAGAAAAATTACCATTCATGTGATTAGTGCTGCAAAATAAAAGTGGAAAGCAGGAAACAGAGATGGAACGGGTACAAACTCATGATTCCCTTCCCTTCTTTAAGACTAAAGGTTGATTGTTTATGGTACTGGTGGGATGTCTTTAAAAGTCAACATACATTTAAAATGAAGTCTTTTTGATGGCTCTTTCTTAAACTTGAGCTGGATACAATGATGAGGGGGAAGTTGCTTCCGCATAATTATGAGTGATCTCATCCTTATGCTAATACAAGTGGACTGTAAAGAGCTGCTCCTCACACTCCAGGTGGCAGGATGGATTTAAGTGAAGAACACTGAGTTACAGTGCCTGACACATACCTGTTCACAACAACTCTTCTACAGAGGTCCCTCACTGTAAGGATGAAAGAGGTGTTGAGAGGACTAAATCCTCCCTGTGAAACTGCTGAAAGTTTTTTATAGTGCTGTTTTTCCATGTGACATTGAAACATTCACTGATCATAAGACAAAGAGGGAGAAGTGCAATTCCTGCTAATGACATAGAGCCACAGGAAGTGGAATATGGAGCAATTTGCCGCTAAACACTGGATTGGGTCCATAGGTATCCTGGACCACAGTATCCTTATCCATTCATGGTGCCTAAATCTGCTTCAGAAGTTCTGCATTGACCCTTTGGTGTCATTTGTTACCATAATCACATGGGAAAGTTCACCCTACTCAGGTTCTCATGTTCCCAGAGAAAATTAAGGATTTCCCACGCACTTCGTAGTTGTAGGTTGCTGCAGAAATCCATCCTGACTCCCTATAGCCTTGTCCAGTTCCTTTTTAAACCACTGTGTATCATCCTCTTGCTTCAGCAACCTCCTAGTAGAAGGTAACTGATGAAGAAATAGTATTATAACTGAATCTTTCACAGCAGTAAATTTCACTGTTTGATGCAAAAGGCAATCTTATACAGTCAGAGAATTATGTCAAATTCTGATTTCTTAATAGTTGCACTCAGTGTTTCTCTACTATTCCACAGCAGTCTTGAAAATTGCCTAGGAAGTATTATAGCTAAGGAAAGGTAAAGAAAATGCATTTCTAGTTCCTAAAGGTGAGACAAACAGATCTTATGTAAAATTTCTCTACCTTCAGATAAAACAAAACCCAGCAGGAACACAAACAGGGATGCACAACTGCATGTTACCTTCCCTAAATAAATTGCCAATTAACTGCTGATTAAAAGGTGGAACAGACACAGCTGAGATCATATATCCATAACTTGAAATTTCATTTTTATTGTACTATATACACTTTTTAAAGTCCTAAACCTGACATTGTTTACCTTTGACCTCTGGAGTCTGACAAAGTTTGGCCTTGAGAGATTGTTTCTATTGGAGGGGGCAAGTCCTTATATGGTTCAGCAATATTTTTAATGTTAACTTGATTCTTTCTTTAGAACTATGGACATATATGCTCATTTCCAGGACACAAAAAGGTAAGACTATAAGCATATATTTTTTTTCTCAGAAGTCTACCATTTCAGATTTTTACCCACAAAAATCTTCCTTGTTTGTGTTTCTATATGCAGTAAACAGATAATATAGGAAAAAATATCCTATTGGATCAGTCGATTGATTGATTGATTGATCTGTCTTTATGTACACACACACACACACACAAACACATATATTTGTATATACACCCTCCTAGTAGGAGTGTTGGGGTTTCCACATAAAGTACAGCAGCAAGTGTTTACAGAAATGTGCTGCTTGGTGGTTAGAGCACATTATTTTAAGGAAATTAGCTATGATTTATAGCAGCAAATAAATAAGACAAAGCCTGTTTAACATACCTCAGCATTAAGTATCTGCTGCATTAATTGTCTCCAAAGTCTGTTCCATTTGTTATCTAACAAGGTATGCTCCATTATTATTTTTATTCAGTTCATTGCTTGATTCTATCTGTCCTTTCAAAATTAGCTTGTCTAATGAGAAACCACTTTGGCTGGTAGTTCATTTCACATAAAAAGGTGGAATTCTTGTTTACTGAGAAAGTAATTGGATTATAATTTTGAAAAGAAAGAAATATGAATTGTAATAAATTATTTCTTAAAAAATACATGGGAGCAGGAAAACTAGCAAACCCAAGACAAATTAAAAGCTCTAATGAATGAAAAGGCTATAAATAGAGTACGAAACTGGAAAGAATAATTTATCATTGTAACTTACCTACTCCTTGTTATTCTGTTGAAAAGAGCTGAATACCTAATGAAAGAAGAAAAGATTTATGTATTTACCAAATGATGGTCAAGTAAATATTTATATTAGCTGCCACTTTTCTTCTAGCTTGTCAGACCTTATAAACCTAATCAAACCTTTCTTATAGAAAGAATAATTTAACCACAGTTGTGAGCCCACAATTTCATTTCAGTTATTGATTAAATTCTGTTGATGAAGTTTTCATGATCACAGGTAGACTATACTAAAGCTGTATGCATCTGTACATATTTAAATGAAGGGGAGAGAATGCAGAAACTATATTCAAAACTGGGCAATATACTGGGAATGTTTATACAGCTGATCTATCCTGTATATTTTAGTGCTTCTCAACGTTTCAGTTTCAATTCTCCTCAAACTGTATGGCTTTTTTCTTTTTTGTTTTACCACTTAAAAAGATTTTATTGCTGATCTTGTGGTTTTGTGTGTTTTTTTTTAATTTTTTATTTTTAGCTAAAACAAGTAAGATAATGAGTATTAAATATATGAGAAATAACTGAAATGAACTAAAAAAATTGTCTAAAAGAAAATAAAACACATAGAAAAGTATGTGCAAAATTATTGTAAATAAAATTACAGAAGTCAGAAACAAGATCTGATAACTAAATTATAACATATTATAAATTTATTATATTATTATATTGTAGAAAGTAGAAAAATAGAGCAATTGTTATGAAATTCTGAAGTACTAGGGAAAAGCTGACACTTACCTGTTCAGCTGATTAACACCTTGAGCTTTTTCTATTTGTAGACCTAACAAAGAAAAACACAAAATTAAATTTAATGCACTAAATTATGTGAGTAAAATTGTTATACATTGATATACATTGATTTAGCCTGATTTTGTTTTATCTGAAAATCATTCAGGTTTTCCTTGTTGTTGAATTGCATTTATGATACCAGTTCAGGCTTTGATCTTAAATTACACGTTTGGGGCCTGAAGAAAAAACAATTTGGGATTAAAAGGATCCAGTTCTTATCTACATACCAAACAGGTTGTTTATAGTGCAGTTTGTTCAGAGAGGATACTCAAATTTAGAGCAGAGAGATTGATAAAGGTAAGCACTGAGCACTGTGTTGGCTTAGAAAAAAGATGAAAGCAAAATGCACCTGACTCAGTAAAAGATAGGAGTTAAATGCCAGATTATCCTTATAAGTGTGCCAGTAGGAGGAATTTCATGCGTGACAGATGCTAGAACGGGCATGAAGATGGTCAGGACAAAAATCATTAGGAGTTCCACCAAGCACACTGCTAAAGCATATGTAGAGTGTCACATTAAATTCTCTCCAACTTAAAAAGGTCTATTTGCACTCTCAAAGGTGGGTTTATACCTGAGAAAGATAAAAAACATTGGGGAGTTTCTTAATATTCACTCAAGGTGTCTGCTCTACATTTAGAAAGCAGAAGTTTATCATGCTACTGATAACCATGAAAGTCAAAGGTGTTATAAAGTGACTGGACTGAGTTTTGTTTCTTTTGGTCCCCAGTTTGTGTGTAACTGTGGAGGACAATTGCTATAACCCGGGTCCTAGGCAGGCCTGACCCGTCCAAGCTGCATGGAAAGAAAATTACTGATGTACTAAGAGGTAGGTACTGTTACTATCCCTGTGATGATTGAGTTGGTGTTTCACTGCAGAAAATGATACTATAGAATCATAGAGTCACAGATTGGCTTGGGTTGGAAGAGATCATTAAAGTTCATCTGGACCAACTTCTCATCATCAACTAGATCTGGCTGTTCAGAACCCCATCCAACCTGGCCTTGAATGTTTCCACTTGAGAAATGAAGTTTTGATTAAACCCGAGCCAGTAGCTACTTAGAAGGATTGTTCACGTAGGGAATGAATAGCATTTGGATATGAGTGACACAGAAAATCACTTTGTCCAGTCAACCAAAAATATTTAAAGTAGCATATTTCCTTTTGTTAATCTAAATACAAAGTAGTGTTACACCTGGTCTCCAGCTTCAGATCATATGAGGAAGAAGTTTGACAGTCTTATAGAGTTTCTCAGGCTGGCCCAGTCATATGCTTTGTGTTTCTGATCCAGGACACTTAGGAAAGCACAGTCCTACTTTAATATGCAGTCTATAAAAATCTTCAGCTAAACACTGGTGATAGGAAAACCCCAAAACGCAGACAAGGTAAACCATGACAAATGTCATAAATGTTTGAAGTTTTGCTGTTTGTGTTAAAGGGATCCAACCTGAGCATGCTAAAAGCAGGGGTGAAACTACCAAGGATTTTGTTACTGAATAGGTAATATTAACCTCAAAATTATTGGGATGTGTTTCTTAGATTGGTGTTTTTGTTTGTTTTTGTGTCTGGATATGCATCATTGTGGCTTGAAAGACTCACAAAATAAAATTAAATATGTCCTTTTTAAAGTTGTCAAGCAGCTTATTCCCTTCAATTTTAGTAATTTATTCCCTTCAATTTTAGTAGTTTCAAATTTAGTAGTTTGATGACCTTGCAACAATTTAACCATGTGAAAGGAATTTTTTACCAATGTTTCTTCTTCTATCCCTGCTGCTCAAGTTCCATTCAGGTTTGGTACAGAGACCACTCAAGGATAGTCACCTGCCCATCGCAGTAGGTATTTAGACAATATATATGTTAGGGATGAAGGCAATTCCTACTCACTCCACACAAGAAATTCACAAGTGAGATGGGAAACTACTTCTGGTATGGTGCCTATGAAGTTTTTCCTCCTTTATTAATTAAGCGAGCCATGAATCAAAAGTCCTTTTTGCTCCCCCACTGGCTATTCACTTGATGTGTATCCATTTCTTGTCTTCCCCATTTGCTTCCTCCCTGTCTGCTGTGCCCTATGACCTCATGCAAGGTCCATCCCCTTCACTGCCTGCCCGCACAGAACCAGGCTCTCAAAAGTGCTCTTCAATAGCAACATAATGATGATTAAACTGAGGTGAATACCATCCTTCCCCAAACAACTGTGAGCTGATTGCTTTGCTGCAGTCCAGGTTTTTGACCAGCTCACATCAGAAATCGGGCTTGAGTATAATTTATATCTTAAAAAATTTAAATTAGATCATTTTTTTAAAAAAAAACTGGATAATATGAGGCTCTGAGGATTCCTTGAACAGAAGCTCTGCTACAAATTGACCTGTCTGCCTACTACATTCAGAAAATTGATTTCCTTTTCCTGAATGGAGACTTTTCTTTGAAAAGAAGGAATTCAATTTGTGACACACACTGTGAGCATTCTGTATGTGATTCTGAGGTTTTAGAATTTTTTAAATCAATAATAAAACCATTTTAATTTGTCTTAACTTTGTAGAGCATTTGTACTTGTAATTCTCAATGAATATGAGATAAGGAAGTGTTACAGGTCCAGGACCAAGTCCTCTGAGTCATCTGCCTTCTAGTTTATCTGTTTTGGGCTTCCCAGTCTGTCTGATCAGAAAATTCCTGAGTTTGAATCAACCTCCATAGTTCAGAGAGATAGAGTCAGACTTTTGCTCAGAACTGTCAGAGGCCACCAGTCTATGAAGGAAAAGCATCATGTTATTATAAAATAGATACAGTCCAATAACAAATAGGAGATTTAAACCTATAAAGCTTGGGGCTATAACCTATGTCCCTATAGTCTCTACCTCACCAATGAGTTCTGTAATATTCCTATTCCCACATCTCCTTCCTCAACAATCTATTCTTGCTCCAGGTAAGCTTTAAGAGATTCTTCAGCAGCAGTAAGAGCTACGTGCTCTTACTGGGAGCATGTAGGGACATAACTGGGTAGCTAGTCTAGGCTGCAGGTATTCCAGTACAACCCTCTTGTGCTGGTACCTTATTCAATGGTACCTGAAATACCTTTCCTTTCAAGTAACAGTTCCTTCACTTGAGATGCTGGCAGCCCATGACTTGGACAGGTGCACCCTTCGCTGAATGGAATTAAATCTAGTTGCTGGTCAGTCACTAGTGAGGTTCCTTGGGGCCAGTCCTGTTTAACATCTTTACTTATGATCTGGATGTGGGGGATTGATGCACCCTCAGTAAGATTGTGGATGAAAGTTGGACAAAAGTGCTGAGGGTAGGAAAAAGGAGGGTAGGAAAGTTCTGCAGAAGGATCTGTCTGGATAGGCTGAGGCCAAATAGATGAGATTCAGTAATGAATGTGGAGTGCTGAGTTCTGCACTGGGGTCACAACAACCCCAAGAAGCACCACAAGCTGGGGCCAGAATGGCTGGAAAGCTGCCTGGCAGACAAGGAACCGGTGGTGCTGGTGACAGCAGCTGAACATGAGCCAGCAGTGTGTCCAGGTGGCCAAGAAGGTCAGTGGCATTCTGGTGTCTACCAGCAATAGTGTACCAAGGCCAGAAGGACTAAGGAATTGATTGTCCCTCTGTACTTGGCACTGGTGAGGCTGTAGCTCAAATCCTGGGTTCAGTTTTGGACCCCTTACCACACAACACACATTGAGGTGCTGGAGCGTGTCCAGAGAAGGGAAACGGAACTAGGGAAGGGTCTGGAGCACAAATCCCGTGAGGAGTGGGTGAGGGAGTTGGGGGTGTTTAACCTGGAGAAAAGGAGGCTCAGGGGTGACCTAGTTGCTCTCTACAGCTCCCCCAAAGGAGGTTGTGATAAAGTGGAAGTTGGTCTCTTGTCCCAGCTAACAAGGGAAAGGACAAGAGGAAATGGCATCAAGGTGCACCAGGGGAGGTTCAGGTTGGACATCAGGAAGAATTTCTTCACTGAAAGAGTGGTCAACATTGAACAGCCAGCCCAGGGAAGTAGTGGAGTCACCATCCCTGGAAGTATTCAAGAAATGACTGAACATGGCACTTAGTACTAGGGTTTAGTAGACATGGTTTTCTTTGGTTAAAGGTTGGACTTGATAATCTTGGAGGTCTTTTCCAACCCTAATGATTCTATGATTCTAAGATGCATTTTAACATTAGCATAGCGACCATTACTCCAGCTGAGATATTCTGGCTACTTATGGCTAACAGAGTTCACTGTTTGCAAGTCTTTGATTCAATTCAGTCACTAAATTACATAATTCACAGAACTGCAGAGAAAAAGTTAGGGTGGAAAGGACCTTTGGAAGTCACCTAGTCCAGTGCTCACATGTTGCTCACTCTAAATGAATGATCTTTGATAAACTTCCACTGATTTTGACTCTAAAGTGCATTTGTCACCCCCTGTAAATGCAAATTAAAACATGTTGAAGTATCCTGATGGTGATTTAGGACTATTTGCCTTGCTTTACAAGACTGGAGCATGCAGAAGGTCAGATAACATGGGTCAGTTGGCAAGAATTGTGTCAGCTGTGTGCAGTTGCCCAGGCACAGGCAGTCATGTGAGCATGTCCACAGCCAGCACCCAGGGAGTTCGAGGATGAGTTCTCAGGCTACACACAAGCAATTCCGTAGTGCTAATAATTCATAGCTGTTAAAGGTTAAATGCTGAAAATTGTTGTGATACAGTCCTTTATACTTTACTTAACTAATTGAATTTGTTTAATTAACAATTTAAACACCTGGAGAGATCTATTGTACTGTTTGGCATTGTGCTTAAACTAGGAACAGCCTTTACATCCTCTGGTGCATATTAAATGGGCTTTTTTGGACACAATTGCTGTTAACAATTATATAGGTGTTTGGTTTTGTTTTTTTTTTTTTTGAGACCTCCATTTTCTAGACTTTTCAGTAAATATTTTATCCTTACACACAACTGAAAATTAATGAAAAATAGAAAAGTAAGATTAAAGCATTTTTATTATTGATTTA